GGTAATCTCATGTTCTTTTAGCTTCATGGATTTATATTTAGTTCTTTTTTCAGGTCCAGGAAATTATAATGTATTATTTCTTTTGATAAGTACTATGTTCCTTCCTCTCTCTTCTCTTTCTGAGATACAAATTATTCTTCTATTATCTTTACTTATGGAACTGGATAATTCTTAAAGTATCTATTTAGCTTTTTGCTTCCTTTCTCTTTTACTTCTACCTTGCCTCTTTGTGTATTCATATCTTCTCTGTTTTGTTTTTCCATCTAGTTATACTAATTCTATAACATTCTAGAGCATTTTTCAATTCCTCTTATGATCTTTTTACATCTCCAGTTACCTTATTTTCTTATTTGGAGCATCATTTTCAATCTTTCTGTTCAGAGATGTTATTTTCAGAATATTAATTTGTTTTTCTGGTATTTGTTGTATATATTTGATTTGCTTCTCTTGCAAATCTGTATCCTTGAAATCACTCATCACAGAAAGTCTGAATTCTGTATCAATCAAAAGAACATACTATCTTTGTGACTGGATTCTGAAATTTTTTTTCTTTCTATGGTGTATTATTTTCCTGAGGATTTAAGTGTGCATTTGTTATTACTTTTTTAATCTCTCTATTCTTTGCTTTCATGACCACATTGCTAAAGTTAGGAATTATGCTGGATATGATTCCATCCCCATTGAAGGCCATCTTACTGATGGGTCAGAAAGTTAGTGATGCTTGGCAGGGGGTAGGATACATGGTTGGGGTTTGTTTTACCTATCACTTGTAGGGCCTCAGATCCAGAGTTCTTGCTAATGGGGCTAGTAGTTGCTGGTGCCTGACAGGAACTTATGGACTTACATGCTTGTACTGCCTCCTACATGGTAGGCCCAAGTACAGGGTTCATTAAAATTGTCATGTTTCCATGACATACACACAGCACCCTTGAAAATATTTCTAAACATAACTTACTAAGTAGATATATACAACAGTATCACAATAGTGTTCCATTGTATAACTACAAAAATGTAAATTGGTTAACATTAGAAATTAAATGTAATAAGAATGAATGATATCTGAGGTAAATATTATCTGAGTGTTGACAAATTTGACCAGATATCACAGATAATATTTCATTGTTCAGACCTTCCTTCTTCCCATTTATAGAACTATTCACACAAATTTAAAGTTGTTCCAGAAACTTTTTATATGATTTTATAAGAACAAATAAAAGTGTAAAATAAACCAAAATGTTAATTTTTTTGAAGTATGTGTTGTGGAAACATTTATTTTATAAAATAAGAGAGCTACATAGACTAGTATATGAACAGTGGTATTATTACAGATACATTTTTGTTTTCAATTTATGGTTGTTTTATTCCCTAAATTTTCTATGGATTTAAGAGTTGAATAAATTTAGAATCAGGCCATATAAATGACATATGTTTTAAACTTATGAGTAACATGTGGAAAAGAGAAAATTGAAAAAATAAAGATACACTAGGAATAGGTACATAAGTATATAAAATAGAAGCCACAAGGTAGAGGCAGGTCACAAACACTGACCAGAAACTTGCTCATAGTTCTAGGAAATGGTCAGTTCAAATTTCTAAAGTTAATTAGATAAATGAGCTGGGTATGACTGAACCAAGAGCCAAAATCCTCTATTTAACATCAGTATTTTCCAAACAACTTTCTAAATGCTGAGATATTAGCATTTCATGAGAAAACAAAAAGTGAAGAGAGATTCTCTCTCCCTATTTGGCTGACTCACAGTATACATTCATATAACTAGAGTTCAGAAAAAAAAAATAAAGAAATGATCACAAATAAAAAAAAATTTAAAAATATCATTTTTGCTATGTTAAAAAAAAGAAATGATCACAATTCTCTACATGCCTCCTACATGTTGGGCCAATGAGTTACTCAAAATATTTGCACATGTAGCTCATTTCCTGTTGTATGGAAAACCCCATACCACATGACTTACATCACAACAAAAAACATAAGCAGAGTTATCACTAAAGACAACAACATTAAAATGAAGAACAAACTTTCACTTCTGACACTTAATCAACAGAGAAATCCAGCACTTTGCCTTACAGAGCAAAGTGAACCTAAAGCAACATAGATCATTTAGTCAAAAAAAAAAAAAAATCTCTTTTGTATTTGAAGCCCAATTCTTTTAATTTTTAGAAATGTACCAATAGGGGCTCTATCCCTGGATAAGCCAGCATAGGGTAGTAAGCACAGAACTCAAAATAATTCTCAAAATACCAATTGCTTACTTAATTTCCCTAGTTGGCACTGATGTGGCAAACAACATCTCGGAAAGGTAGGGAATCTAGTTTGGACCTCAGAGCCAGAAGTCAAAATAGCACATTATAAGACCAAATCTCTTCACCCGCAATGTCAACTGCAGGCACCCATTTCTCAAGAGGAGACTATAGGCACAAAGGTTCAAGTTTGTAGTCCGGCACAACTAATAAAGGCAGAGAACAGCTCCAAATAGTGATCTGTCTCATCCATTTCTCCTACCGGGACAGCATCTATTCAAGACCCGTCTCCCAATGATGGCAGCAAGCAAATGAGAGGAAAGTAGTTAGCAAGAATGAAGTAATATTTAATCTCAGCTCCATATGCAGATAAATCTGAGTTACTTTTACTTTTAAAGTAGTCTTAACCTGGTAGAATAAAGACTTTACATTATATTCATTGCTTTTTGTTGTTTTATATTTAAATGTGAATAATATTCAGGCGTCATTAAAATGTATGGGTGAAAACTACTTTCAGAGGTGATCATATCTCACAACTAAGGAATAGCACGTTTTCTATTTTTTACTCAGAATCAGTCAAAATAAATTTTGGAACTCAAAGTGACACAACAGTAAATCATGTTATAGGAGACCCTGAGTACTAATCATTAGTGAAGTAAAGGCTGAGATATAAGCAGTGTCCCAAATAAGTTATATTTCCATTCTCAAAGAGACCATTGCTATTCTGTCAGCTTACAGAACAGAAAGGGGACATATAGAAGACTTGTTTTATCAAAACAATAAACACTAAACATGCTGTTCTTATGTTAAGTCAAGTCATTCACTTGCTCTATTACAAGATCCATGAGTTTAAATAAAACATACTTGTAAAAACTGTTGTTGAAATACAAAGTCAAAGTATAATAGTTTTCTTAAATTATGAAGCTAATTGATTTTTTTAATGGACCATTCAGTTGTTCCTTGACCCTAAAAGATTTTTATCCTAAGCCCCCTGAACATTGTAAATTCATTATGACCAACCTAGTTCCCAGAAGTATTGCATCATTAGAGGTAAAGAGATGGAGATTAAAAGCAAAACTGAGAAGTGAACTGTGCCTTAGGCAAATTAATAATACAAGTGAAACCATTATGTAAAAATCATTGTTTGGCTGGGAACATTTGACTATGCATTATAAAAGTAATGTAGAAATGCTGATAGAATTCTGCACTGAAACACAGCAGTTATCTTAAGCTGCAAAAAAAGAATATTTAGAATATAAAAAATGGCAAAAATTAATGAAGCTATCCCTTTTGGCTGGAATCAAGGTAACAGACAAGTATATATATATATTTTTATCATTCAGATTGTTCTCTAACTAAATCTCAATGTTTACCTGTGGAAATCTGAATTCATACATTTACCTAGTATAAATGTTTCCTTTTAGGACAACTCTTTTAGATACAATTTTAGACCACTGAGTATTTAAATGATATATTACACCATATACTAAGAGGCAGTGTGTACCCAGGTAGAAAAAGAGTTTATTATGAGTGAAGATTAGCATCCTAGAAAGCAAAAAGGGAGATATTTTATAAATAAAAAGTCCGGGAAATAAAGAAAAAACACAGACTGCATCATAAGTTAAAGGTCCACATTTCTCCCACTTTTATACATTGAAAATCTATAAAGAAAGAATCTGAGAAGCTATCTTAGCAAAATAACATCAGAGGTATTAGATTATGGAAAAATATCCAAACAATCAGAAAAGGAAAACTGTCATAGAATATCCTTTTTATTTCTTTCATTCATATTAAGTATAATATTGACAGTGATCCAAATCCAGAATTAATAAGAATACTGGATCAACCTTATAGGGGGTGGGTTATAATTGTCAATGGTCAATATTCCACTTCACAATATTGATCAGTATACCAGAAATTTCCTTATATCCCAGAATATTCAGAATAAAGTAGGCATAGTATCTCTATATGCAAATGAAATGCTATAAACCACAAGAAGTCACTGTCAGTCTATAAACCTGAATAACAAAAATGTGTCAGAGAAGTCTTTTGCAACGAGGGGAAATTTTAATGAGAAAAATTCTAATCACTTATAAAAATGGTTTTCAAGCATTTGCGTAAAGTAATCCTTTCCATTCATTTTAATGGTCATTGGGTTCTCAACACAGAATGATTCAACAATGGATAACAATCTTTCTGGAAGCAATCAGAATTTAAGTGGAAAATGTCACAAAATGTGAAGTTTGTAAGACAGAAGGAGGAAAAGAAAATGTCAGGTTTGAAAGGAAAACAGCATAAAATACTAGCAACCTACTTATTCTATTCTTACTATAAAACATTTTAAATGAGATGTAAAAAATTCAAGTAGTTTTACATACAGATGAGTATTTTTTTATATTTCTTTAAAAATATCATAATGTGCTATATATTCATAGATGAACAAGACAGGATTTTAAAGATTTCTGTGGGATTTTAATAACATTTATAAAGTCAGTGTTATTGTTTATTCATCTAATATGGCCTACATTCTCCTATCCAAAGATCTTACTTAAAACAATTAAAATTCACTTTAATACCTCAGAAAAAAGAGTTTTTCATTTAACATTTCTTTACATTGTATTCATCCCACAACCATCAGAAAAAAAAAATTGATTCAATGCAAATTCTTTATATTTAAAAAGAATAGAAAAGAAAAAAAGAACCTCTATCTAACAAGGTTTCATTAAGTAACTTAAATCTACCTTTCCTGCTCCTGCTTCATTCGTATTCTCTCCTCTTCTGATGTAAAGGACTCCTGTATTTTTATTTTACCCGTTTTCTCAATCTTGTCATCTTTTCGATGTTTTCCAAACCTGTTGACAACAAAAAATTCTAACTTGTCAATATGTACAAATGAGTTTTCTTTCTTTTGTGATAATGACATATATATTCAATAAAACATGAACTTCCTCAAAATGAGAGGCCAAAGTATCTCCTACAGTTGATTTGTTTTTCTAACATTAATATTTTCATTAGACTATTTCACTCATTTTTCAATTAGAACTTTCCAGAGAAAACCTTTATGTAAAATGGCCTCAATAACAAATTTTTCTATTGGTAAAATAAAAATAAACAGTAGTGACAAATACCTTGTAGGTGCTCCTTATTTTAAAAATAATGAATTTACAGGACTTAAAAGCTGAATATTGCAGATACTAGAGAAACATATACCTTAGACACAGACACACTGCATTCTGCATTGGAGTGGGTAGGGACTAAAGATTGTTAATCTACACTCATTTATTTAATAATCTCCCATAACAACTATTTTTCTTTCTTTTCACAGTAAGGTTTATTGGAAACATTCATCTTATTTTAAAATCTGACAACAAAGCCACTGGTGCAGCACTTGAAGTACAAAGGAGAATTTACACTGTTATCATACTTGGAGCCTCTTAAACTGAAAGTTCTAAGACGTTCTCATTAAACAGTATTCCTCCATCTGATGAAAAGCAATTGCTGAACGTGATATTTAAGACTTGAAAATTTACATCCGATCAAAAACAAACAAGAATAAGTACATGATTCCAAAACCATCAACATGAACTTTTGCAGACTGAATTTGAGCATGTTTTAAAAACACATTATTCTCTTCTGGCATTCAAATATCTGTGACAACTCAGAGGTGGTGTCAGTTCTTTTTCTAGTTTGTTACTTTTCACTAAAAGATCATGTTGCCTGGAATGCAGGTGTGACACACCCTCAAATAATATTCATTTGGTTGTGACTTGGTTATCAGATATTTCAAAAAAGATATCTTTGATAGTCAATTGCACATTCTTAAATAAAGTGTATTATTTATTTCTGAGGACAATATAGTAGCAGGCTAATGGTGACACTTAATCATATTGGGAAATGCCAGAAAAAAACAGTAGGTACAAAGAGGTAAATAATTATTTCAATAAATGGGTTGGTTTATAGTAGAGATCGTTATCTTTTTAATGTAAATCTGATTTCAAATGCTAGTCTATGCACTAAGTGTATGTGGGGGTTTTAAAAACTAAAATACCATTAATGCTATTCATTTGTAATTATGTATTATTATTAGCATCAAACTCACTGTAAAATTAATTTCTGGAAGGTACTATGAATATATGCTCATAAACTAAATAACTTAGAATTGGACAAATTCTTAGAAGCATACTATATTCAATAGAAAACTTGACTAGGCCAATTATATGTAAGCTAGGAAACTGAAACAGTAATCAAGTCTCCCAGTGGAAAAAAAAAACTCAAGGAAGCGATGGTGTCACTAGTGAATTAAACAAAATATTCAAAGACAAAACTACAATTAACAACAGTCCTTCTCAAACTCTTTCAAAAAACTGAGGAAGAGAGAATGCTGCTAAACACATTTTATGAGGTCAACATTACTCTGATAACATCAAAACTAGAAAACTACAGACCAATATCCCCATTAACACAGATGAAAAATACCTCAACAAAATCTTCCGCAACAAATTAAATGATACTTTAAAAGGATTATATATATCATGCCCTAGTGGAATTCATTCAGGGACATAAGTATTGGTCAACATCTGAAAACAGATTTCTTTAATTCACCACAACAGAAAGAAAGATAGAAATCATATGATCATATCAATGGATAAAAAAATACATTTTTAAAGATTCAACACCCATTTATGTTAAACTCTCCAAAATTGGGGCAGAAAGAATATACATCATCATAATAAAGAGCATACATGATAAACTCTCAGTAAAAAAACTTCCTGGTGATAAACTGAAAACTTCTCTTCTTGGATCAAATTAAAAAAGGGATGTCCACTTTCCTCACAACTATTCAGTAATATTGGAAGTCCTAGCCAGTACAATTAGGCAAGAGCAATCTATAAGACAAATCCAAACAAGTTAAAACTATCACTACTTTTCAGACAACGTGACAATCTACATAGAAACCCTAAAGACTACATTAAAAAATCTACTGAAAATAACAAATTAGTATGACAGAGTACCAGATTATTGACTCAATATACAATAACTGTTTCATTTCATTATATAGCAATGAACTAGAAGATGAAGAATCAAAAAAAAAACATAATTTACAATTGCATAAAAAGAATCAAATTAAGTAGGAATGAACTTGACAAAGTAAAAGTCCTCTACATTGAAAATAATAAGACATTGTTAAAAGTCATAGAGGACACAAAAAATATATACACTTCTTGCTCATAGAATGAAAGAATTAACATTGTTAAAATGGCCATCTTATTTAAAGCCATATGCAGATTTAATATAATATCTATCAGAGTTTCAGTGTCATTTTTCAAAGATTGTCACTATTACTGAAAAAATCCTGCGTAGCACAGCAACCATGACAAAAAAAAAAAAAAAAAGAAGTATCACACACCCATACTGGAAGTGAAATAAAAATAGACATAGAGAATAAAACAATCAACTTTAGAACCTAAAAATAAGCTCATAATTCTCTGGAGACTTAATCTTTGACAGACGAGCCATGACCATACAGTAGAGAAGGAAAAGTCTCTTCAGCGCATGGTGTTGGAAAAACTAGTCTTGTGGACAAGAATGAAGACAGGCCACTATTTTGGACTAAGCACAAAAATAATTCAAAGTGAATTAAAGACTTGAATGAAATACCTAAAACCAAAAAATACATAAAAGAAAAAAAAAGCAACAAAAAAGACTCCCTAATATTGGCTTCAGGAATTCTTTAGCACCCAACTCCAACATTAAGAGAAACAAAAGAGAAAAATACACAAATGAAACTATATCAAACTAAAGCTTCTATGCAGCAAAAGAAACTATCATTTAAATGATAAGACATTGTACAGAATGGGAGTAAAAGCCACACATCATATACTCAAAATGCTAAGAGCTAATACCCACAAAGAGCTCATTCTGCTCAATGAAAAGAAAATAATGCAATCAGAAAAGTGAAATAGACACTTTTCTAAAGAAAACACGTAGCTGGGCAACAGGCATATGAAAACATGTTCATCATCATATAGCATCAGGAATTGCAAATGAAAACCCATTTGAAAATGACTCATGTCAAAAAGACCAGTAACAACAAAGGTTGTAGAGTGTGTAAAGAAAAAGGAATCCTCTTATATCAATGATGGGAATGGAGAATGGTTCATTTTCATTCCCTTTGGAAAATAGTATGCAGGTTCTTAAAACATGAAAAACAGATCTACTATTTGACCCCAGAATTTCACAACTAGTTATATACTCAAAGAATGCAAAAGCACAAATTCAAAGGCATACAGATACTCTTATGTTCACTGAAGTCTTATATACAATAGGCAAGTTAGGGAAACAATGTTAAGTATCCAGTGCATAAGGCAGACAAGAAGATGTGTTTTATATATACACACACACAATATTTTAAAAAGGATGAAATTTTGCCAACTGCTATTCCATGGATGGGAATGGGAAACAAGTAAAATAGACAAATTCAGGGAGATGTCAATCATCTGTGGAATAGTCACACAGAAACGAACGGACAAAACCAAACAAACAAAATTCCACGAGAGATCTGACCGCAGAACTAAGGTTATCAGAAGGGAAGAGTATGGCGTACACTTGGGAGGAGGCCCAAAGAACTAAACTACAGTGGATACTGGTGGGTGCTTTGATGGGGAGAATGCTGTAAACCAACACTATCTCAATAAAAAATCAACTTTTATAAAGCAATTGAATTGAATTTTATTTAGAAATTGGAAGTTAATTATAAGTACAAAAAAGAAAAGTTATCCCCAAGAACTTAATACCAGATGTTGACCACCTCTCATGAGGGGTAAAATATATACTTTGTGTTTAAAATTAATAAATACAAAGCATCCATTAAGACTTTTTGTCAAAATATCAATAATGCCTAAAAGTAAACAATAATGATTGACTTTACATAGTCAATGAACAAATGGGTGAACTAACATAAAAAACCAACACTGGAGTAAATATCTAAAATAATGTTCATTCTTTAAAAAAAGTTTACAGAAACTTTCTAAGTCTCAGGGGAAAAAACAGGACTACATTAACTTGATGACATCAGTAAATACATATTATTGAAAACTGATCTGAATTCCCATCCTACATATTCTGCAATATTTGAGGTACTTAGAAACATTAATTGTATTAAGTTACAACTCAAAAGTGAGTTCCAGTGTTAATATATAATATTTATTGAAAATAAGAATGCCTTAAGATAAATCATTTTCACAATTTTTCATCTCATGACTATCTTTCTAAAGGTATATATTTGAGAAACAAAATGCAGTGACACAAGAGATATTATCTATATACACTTAAAGTACAATTTAATCTCACATGAAGATCATGTGTATCTTCCCCTTGAACTAATAAAACAGGGAGAAGCGGGCCCTCCCTGGTGGCGCAGCGAGATAAAGCACTGTACAAAGAAGCTTAAGCCACTCTGCATGAGTTCGATCCCCGCCTGCCCCGGAGGAGATCCACATGTCCACATGGCGTGGCAGATCTCTCCTGGCCCTTCCGCTGCTCCCCTCAGCAGTGTACTTCGTCGATCTGCCTGTTCTGCTCCCCACTCTGTCTCTGGTGAATCTCTCACCCTCCACATCTCTGGCCTGTACCCCAGTTCTGTATGAATAAATAAATCAATCTTAAAAAAAAAAAAACAAAAAAACAAAAAAAAACAAAAACAGGGAGCAGCTGAGAGTGGTTTACTTTGACAGTAAGACTCTTTAACATGCTACAAAATAGCTTTAGTATTTTGAGACTCTAACCAGACTGTTAAAACCTTTTAACAGTGGTCTCAGTCTTACTTGCAATTATAGTTTCAGTCTTAGTCTAC